TATAATTTTAATGCCATTGGTTACTGAAATTATTAAATGCTTTTAATTAGATGCAATTTAGATTAGTTGTGTGATTTTAATGAAACGCTTGATTGTTGAAGTTATTAAATATTTTGGATAATTTCCGAAATCAATACTGCGCGCGCGAGGTTTTTTTCCCCCCAATTTCGACTTCCCGAACGTACGAACGTTTGCTCGTACACGAACGTGAACGTATCGAAGTCGCGACGCTTCACTCTCTGCCAATGAGCGGTCAATCGAAGGTACCGTCCAATAGATCGGTCCAACTTACAATCTTCCGAGCAATTATTTACGGATCTAATTAGAACACTTTTTATAAGACGCGCGCGTTTTGTAGAGTTGTATAGTTCAGTGAATGCGTTCGTAACACACCCGCGATGCGTATCGAATACTTAGCGTCTTGCATTTATTGCGACATTCCGTGGGATAATTTTTTGTACTCCGCAATTGCAACGTCGTACCAGGACGGTTACACATATTCCAGCGAGCTGTGCACAGTTCCGTTTCCTCGAATCAAACGTTGAAGAAGACAATTTATGGAAAAGACATGAATTCTTTAGATTATACGCGTCTTTAAATTATACGCATTCCTGACACAAGTACGTAGAGATATTCAGAGCAGATTTTCCCGCTTGTTATTGCGAATTCCTTATACCTACTATATTGAATTTTTATAACGCACCCGTGCACAGGTACGGGTTCACATGATTTTTTTATCGCGCGCAAAGGTATTCGATAAATGACTTAATTATTCGTCTCTCAAGACTGACAAACCGTAGAATTTAGGGCACAACGTCTTTTGGTTTTGCGTACTTTACGGACGCAGTCTTCTCGTTGTTTCCCCGATAGAAGAGGAATTGCATTTTATACGAAGGGATGCGCGATGCCATCGTGAATTTTGCCTAAGTTTACTTTGGTACGAAACTACGGAAAACTGTTCCTTTCCCGAAGAAATAATTTGTTAATCCATATATATATTTGTACAGTGACACTTACGTGTAAACGCGATTGATTATGATATCATTGACCAACATCGATTGAAGACAAATCGAACCACGTTCGTTTGCCTCTATTATTACTCGTTACGGAACGATCGTTGTTTAGTTGATAAGCCCTTCTCGCCTAGCGCATAAATCATTGTTAAAACTGCCTAATTGCCATATTTAATGGCGCTAAATCTCGACGGGGGAAGAAACGTAACGTGTGCAAGTCAAATAAAAAGCGTACCAAAGTGTTACGCGAATATTTATGCATGGTAATTCCGTTGACACATGCTGAACTCTAATAATGTCGCCTAAGGATCGCATCTGGCTAACTCGTGCTCAACGAGTATTTCTCTACTGAACCACCACGTGAATCGCGAATCAAAAGAGAAAATAATACTTTCATCGACGCAATTTCGTATCCCGGACGAGAGTACTTGTGAGATTGCGGGAGCTAAAAAGATCGAAAAAAAAATGTTTTTATCGAGATATGTAAGTCAGAATGAGATAATGTGAATGTAAGTGATTTATATCTGCGTGTCGTATGTTGTAGATAATAATCTTAATCCGAAATGTAACATCCGCGTTTCTGCCAGGCCCACGTGCGTTAGGTTTCCGTTAGAAGTATCGGAAAAAACAATGTCTTCGTTATTAACGGAATATTTTTACCGTTATTCCTACTAATGTAATTCTTACTCTTTTTTACTATTGGTTTTCTGTTAGCATATATTTTTAGTATTGCTCTATTTTTTAAGGTACTGCTAGGATGATCATATTTACGCTGTATAATTACTAATGTCGCCATTATTGTCGTCATTACTGTAATTATTTATGAAAAAGATACCTTGCCTTGTAATGAACGTCTCACTTTTCAGTGGTTCAGAATTATAAATTTTCGGCCGCGATTATGATTCGTATGTACAATGTATTAACGTATACTGGCGCTGTAAATATTATACATATTTTATAAATGAGATATTTAGTGTGATTGTAATATTACAATAATGTACTGAAAGCACCACTCTGTACACTCCACTAAATATATGGGTTAAATTTTAATAAATATTTCCCGATCCCAAATCTGATCCATTTTTACCACCCGTTTTTTTTCAGATATTTTTATTGTCGTTATTTGCAATTGGTAAATAAATAACGCGTGTTGTATTTAAAAGGATGTATATTTTTCCTAAGAAAATAGCTGCAATACACAAATTTCTCATCATTATTTCATGATATACATACAAGTATCCGGTAAAAATATAATGACTTTTTATCATTATATCTCAACATGCTAAAATTATAATTATAACTTCTTAAGTTTTCTCTTCTTTGGTCTCTTTCTTTAGTTTCGTCAGTGCAGTCTCACCGTATTTCGCCACCAGCTCTTCGACAAATTCGTCCTTCAACTTTTTCAGACATCTGTAAAAATAATCAGAACAGAAATTCAAGGAGACTCGTATATCGAACGGATATTTCTAAAGTTGTTTCCTCGTAGTCACCTAATTTCTAATATAAAATACATCCTATATATGTCATTTACCTTCTGTAAACAGAATCTGTTCTAAATTTTCCAATGTCTAAGCTAGGAGCATGAGGACGATGAATAATAAAAGTATCCGGTAAAACGATGTATCTGTAATTTCAGTTTCCCATTTAAATCGTGCGCTACGTTAATCGGACTCGGGCAGATATTCCATTATCCAAATGAATAAAATTACTGCGGCTTACTTATAATCTAGCGCCGTTAAATGGGTCACGTAGGAAACTTTATTCCAGCCAAATCCGACAAATCTGGTGTCGTATCGCGGAGCGAATTTCGAGACAACTATGTAAGGTTCGAAATCTGGCTCCCATGAAACCTACAACGGCCCATTCGTTATGCATTTATTATTTTTCTCACGTAAATGTATGTCGATCATTTATCTCTAACTATGTATTTAATACAAGGTATCCCGGAACTACCGACATCGCCGGTAACTCTTCCAATTATGGATCTAGCACGCACTTGGTAAGGCTCCGTGCTGTTTCGCCAAAGGCTGTAATTCGTGGCAGCGTGTCCTTGCGTCCAAACGTGATAGCGAAACGTGTACAAAATGCCGCGTTTAAGAAACTTCAGCAGTTCATCTTTGTTGACGGGGAACGTGAACCTGTAAGAGGCGACTTTTCTTGATGAAGCCATTTATTTCGATATTGCGACAGCGAGGAATTACCTATAGCGTTCAGTTTCGAATGCTGGCACGATCAGGGCTACTTTGTCCGACTCGTTGATATTTAATCGATTGATGTAGTTCATGATATTTTCATACAGCCCGAATTGCGGCAAGAAGTCGACGTCAAGTTGGAAGACGAATGGAGTTGGTACGTATGATATCGCAGTGTTTCTTAAATAATTGATCGGGTAAAGATCCTAAAAATGAAAAGCAACAGTTCACGTGAAAGGGGGTTATTGAATCTCGGGAAATAATGCGGCGTGATGTGATTTATAATTTCATGGCATTTATGACATGCCATTAAGAAAATTCAGCTTTCAAAAGTGCGATACCTTTAATTCTTCGAATTCCCAAAGTTATAATTTAGAAACTACGCCCGCCCTTTTTGTTCCGCATTAAATTACAAAGTCACACCTTCATCTTACTTTTATCTACTTTTTGACTCTTACACTTAACTTATTAATTTAAAATTATTAAAATAAAAACTTAAAATTATTAATTAATTCATTTCACTGACTTATTATCTTACTATTTATCTATTTATTTATTTATCTTTACTAGTAATAATTTCAGATATGACATCATGAATTTGCTGCCACAGACTCGTGAACTCATTCTGTTTCGGCATAAATTAATTCGTTCAGTCAACATTAGGTATTTTCTCCTTTGTAATACATACTTGTGTACATACTAAAATTTCCTTTGTATCGCAGTTTGTACATTTGAAATTTGTTTCCAGATTGTACTTGAAAAGAACCCGATAAAGAGGTCGAAACGTTGCAACTTAAATGAAGGTCACTTTTTTTCAGTCTGGTCAACTTTAAAAAAATTTTTCCTTCGTTTAATTACCACTGGCGACAATCAGCCTCACTCAATTTGGTTAACACTTTAGAATTCATCTTGCTCTTCGCAAGCGCAGAGGAAACGCACCCCGTCTTTGTATACGACGTGATAGGCGATGTTCCTTCTCGCCCGCAAGTCCGCGGAGCCTCGCACGAAGTCCAGGAAATTCTGAACCTCCGCATCGGTCAGATAAAGCGTGACGCTTATGGTCCCAGGCCAGTGTTTCGACAACTCTTCCAACAGCGGTATCCTCTCCACGCTACACTGAGTGACTAGAGCTACATCCGTCGGCGAGTACACGTTGTATTCGTACTCGAGAAGGAAAGGATGCGTGCGGTACAAAATTGTAGCGCCCTTCTCGAATTCTCGGCACAGGCTCGACTCGTTGTACTAAAAAAGAAAGAAAAGAAATGCGCGCGCGCGCGCGCACGCACGACGAGGGAAAAAGAGAGAGAGAAACAGTCGTTACAGTCGCATTATAAGTACCAGGGGGATTTTCTAGGATCTCCCTGAACTCACTGGAAGCGCGCTCTCGTGCTTGTCGCAGCCGAATAAGCGCTTTCGCAACAGATTGCCGTCCATCTCGAGGAAGACCCGGTGGAGCTTTCGAAACTCGTTAACGTGCTTATTGTGAACGTCTTGCTTGCGCGGGGAGTTCCAGTGGAGGATCTAAAAGTGAAACGAACGGCGCTCGGTCAGAGGTCGATCGATTCCCATTTCGCGCGCTCCCTCGCGACGGGCGTAATCCGAGTTACAAGGATGGACGAGACGTACGTTTATGCGATTCGTGTCGCGATAGCACGTGTCACTTATCGTGTGATCGCTCAGCTGTATATTCCACGTGCACTCTATCCTGTGCACGAGACCCGGCCGCTCGCTGATCACCGCGTTTATCACGTCCTGATCGGCCAGGCTGGTCTCCGGTATGTATCTCAAAACGCGCCTCGTCACGCTCTCCCAGGCCCCGGCGAAGCCGCCGTTCCGCAAACGTTGCAGATGCATCAGCATCACGCCGGTGTTGAACCCACGGCCCAGCGCCGGCCACGGCCGCTGCCCGTACGAGAGCGCTTTCACGTACCAGTTACTCTGATTCTCGACCAGGCCCAGGCTCTGGCCGGCCGCGAACCTCTCGAACGTCCTCCACAGCGGCTGCATGTCGGTCAGAACGGTCACGTCCGTGTCCAGCACGAGCACCCGGTCCTCCCGCATCGCGTCCGGCAGTATCAGCTTGAGCAGCCCGTACACCCCCGAGTAGTGCTTGTTCGGTATCCACGAGACCCTCGGCACCCAAATCTCAGCCTCGTAGAACGTTACGTTCACTAAAATAAATCCCTCCGAGCGATCAGCACGGCCGAAGGGAGTTATGAGCGTGTGATTGCATTTGTCACGCATCTACCCCCGGTGTACTGCCTACATAAAGAGCTATTCGTACATTATATAAAAAAGGCAACTTTTTCCATTTGTTCTCCTTCTCTCTTGAAAATGGCGATTTTAATAAAACTTGGCGCGCGCACCTATATTGGAAAATTTAACAAATTCAATTAAATGCATTTTATATTTACGTCGGAAAAGTAATTTTTTTTTCTCTCTCTCTCTCTTTCTCTCGCTTTCTGTACATCGCGTTCCGCGTTAACGCAGACGCGGATAAAAATTAGGTTTTTCCGTGTGTGCGTCACAAAGGGGTAGTGCGTACCCTGTCGTAAAAGCGTACAAACCATGTGGCAAATCCCACGTTCGGAACAGGGTCGAGAGCGTTTTCCTCGCAATTTCGTCGACGAGCAAATGAAAATGCAACGGATTCGTGCGATAAAACAGAATGGACTTCACCACCGTTACGAGGGCGAGGGTCGAGTTGTATCCGGCGCAGACCATGGCTACGTGTATCGCGTCGCATTTCACCTTGAAAATGTCAGAACATCACTCGCCGGAGTTGCGGCGGGGCGCGCGCTGACGGTAGGTATATAAGGGTTCACGGGCGTTTACCTCGAAATTGTTTTTTAACTGCGGCCGCTCACCGGAGCGATCCTCCGCCCGCAGATTCGACCTCTCCGCCCCCGCCGATAACGATCGCCACTTCCCTCCGACGCTCGAGCCGCCTATTTCCGCGGAGGGGACTGTGGAAAGCAACGTTCACTGATAGCCTTTCGTCAGCGCTAAGGAGAAATCGATGTGACGACGTCGTAATTACCATTCAACAGCAGGTACAAATAAAAGACCACGGACGGTACCAAGACGCCGAGCAGACATCCTAGCCATGATCGAGCCATTGTAATGTGCCGCGCATGTTTCCCAATTCGCGATATGATGTCGCGAGCAAGTTAGACTAGACGCACGTTGGAATCTACGGCAAAGAGAGGAGGAAAATTAATTCGAGTATGTAACAGAACGGATCGTTCATTTTCCAAGTACTGTTTTCGGAGCTTCCGTTCCTGGCGTAGCGACCGAGTAACATTCTTTTGTCTTGGGAGGGGACTCGACACGGCCGACGACCGGGGACCAGCGACGCCAGAAATTGGACGCGACTCCGGGATGAAGGGGATACTACTATGGGGAACAAAGAAGAGCCCACGTCCGTACGCTTTCAGCGCCCATCAGCGTTGCGCTGAACGTCTTCTCGATCTGTCCGACGGGGCCGCGTCTCATTTCTGGCACCACTGCTGGGAACAGTCCTCTTGCAGACGAAGGATCTTTCTCGAGTCCTAACCGAGGGGGAAACCGCTGAGGGCATTATGGTGTACAGATTTGCGGCATTACTGGGCATTACTAGGCATTACTACACTGAAAAAAAATCTGATAGATTCAACCAGTCGTCTGTTAGAAAATGGATGAATCAGAATTCCTTTAGGACTTACCACGAAAGATATTTCATAACCAGAAGTTTGCTAGACTTCACTACAAATCTGGTAAATCCTAAAGGAATTCTGATTCGTCCGTTTTCTAACAGACGACTGGTTGAATCTATCAGATTTTTTTTCAGCGTAGGCAATTTTGGGGCATTAGTTTAGGCATTAGGACTTGCTGGGACATTATAAAGATAAAGTAAGATAAAACAAGATAAATAAGATAAAATAAGATAAAGTAATGCCCACTGGGCATTGGTGGGTATTGGTGTACAAGATTTTGGTCAGTGGTTTCCCCCTCGGTCCTGACCAAATAGTTAGGAGTGAGATTATTTGATGCCCTTCCCTTACAAGTACCCTTCATACTTGAAAAGTGCATGGGAAAACTCGCCGCGACTCCGTGCCTTGCAATTTACCTGGGAACGTTATCTTTGAGGCGCGATAAGAAGGGCGCGCCCGCGAGTCGAGTTTCGCCTAATTGCAGACGACCTCGAACTACGCGCTAAGCGAACGGACGAGGCGAGCCCAGCAGCCAGTTCGCAAAAGTGTGACGCGCTGTCGTTAACAGTAAATTTGATTAGCGCTTAATAACGTCTTGGCGCGCGGGGGGCGTCGTGTACATCATTAATAAACTCTTCGTTTCATTCGGCCCGCTCGATACCGTCGGCGATGCGCGACGAAAGTCAATAGATCATGTGTAACATGCGGGCTTATGAATGCGTTATATCCAATTTCCTCGTGTTATACAGACAACAACTGTGCGCGCGACACAATGATAATGCATGCAAATTAGCGCCATAAATGAAAATGTTGTATTCCTTGCCCAGAAATTTGGGATAATTATGCCGCGAATGCGAATTCATGCATCAGCATTCGGCGCATGTTAACAAGCGGGCATTAATATCAAAACTGCGCCCGATATACGAGGCTTTCCAGCTCCCGATTAAACTCTCGAGTCGTCGCCTCGTTTCAACATACGTTTCCTTCCCCCCTTTTTTTTTAATGACCTCTCGTTCTTTCCGGTGTGCGGCTTTAAAGCGCCACGTGGGAGCCCATTTCCGTCCCGCGGAAATTTACAACTTATAAGTTAAACATTAAATACAGATGAATTTTTGATTTGTAAATTACATATATTTTCTCCCGTTTAACATATAAATTTTTAATTTCCGCTTTAAAATTACAACTCGTAAATACACAATTAGCATGTTTCAATATTTATATTTTAATTATACATTTTTAACGTTTAACAGAATTTGAACCTATTATGTATAAAGCGTGCAACAAACAATTCGAGCAACAAAGGGTTAAAATGCTATATGAGAAAGAACGGGAGATAATATTAATTTGTTAGCGTTCATGTAATTGCGATGAAAACGGACATATAATAATTGGGACAACAAAGTGTTAAAATACCGTTTGAGAAAGAACTGCACGTGTAACGGGCGATAATTTATTAACGTTCATGTACTTGCGATAAAGGCTACGGTCAAGCTATCGCTTCAAGTGTTTCTAAGTATTCTTCTTTTTCTTCTTTCTTTCGGTAAAGATAGAAAGAGAAAGGAAACACTTCGAAGCATTTGCAGCGGCAGCTTGACCGCAAACATAAACGGACGTGCCGCGTAATTGCACTACGTTGAATATGATTGAGAGTCAGTTAATAACGAATTCGGCTGCTTGCACTAGTGCGCAACAAGTGCACGCCAAGGCTCGTTCACAGTCATTCTTATATTTGTGGATCGTTTTAAATGTCTCTTGAAATATTTCTTAGCCAGTAAAATGATCTGTGCAGAATCCACACGGATCATTTTTTGGCTAAATACTCTAAACATATATTTAAAGGCCTGTGTCGACGATGCTAGAACTTGGTCCAATCAACTTGCAACTTTTATGGAACAGCTGCAAGTTGATTGGCTGCACATTCCTCGAAATTAGAACTTAGGACCAAGTTCTAGCATCGTGGACACAGGCCTTAAGGCAATGTTAGACGCAAGAATGGACTATAAACAAGCCTTGGTACTTGTACTCAGTGCGCACTAAGGCTCGTTTACAGTCAATTCTTATATTTGAAGATCATCTTAAATACCTCGTGAGAGACTTTTCAGCCAGTAAAATAATCCGTAAAGCATTTGTACAAATCGTTTTTTTTCAGCTAAATACTTTTTGGATATTTAAGACACAGTTAAATATAAGAATTGACTGTAAAAGAGCCTTTAATGCGCACTCGGTGCGCATTAGTGCGGGCAACCGAATTCGCTACAAGTAAATACAGGTACGCTCTGCCGGCTCTTTTTGGACCATCCTGTAACCACCTTCCGACCGCTAATCGCGCACATGCGACCCGCTTCGCGCGCGCGGACAGTGACGTGCCTGTAACGTATACCCACACATTCGGTTACGAAAAAAAGCCCCCGACCGGAGTTTCAGCTCGCCTTTTTGTCCCACATGCGCCCAGCTTCGGGTTATTATTCACGGTTACATTATCGCGCGATTCAACGACAGAGTCGCGATCGCTTACCGAACACGCCGACTGAGGGCGCTCCAGCAAATCACTCGAGAGTAGGGATGTGCCGGATTTTTCATTAGTATCCGGCAAAATATCCGGCCAAGTTTTTATATTAAAAATTTGATAGTTTGCATCTTTGATATAGGAGATTCGAATCCTCTAGTAACTTTAATGTAACTATTAAATTAGTTACTAATTATCGAAAAAATGTAACCGAGTTAAGTTACAGTTACAGATGAAGAGAAAGTAACGTTAATTTTCTTTACCATTGTCACGAGTCTTTTTAACTTTAATTTGAAAGTAGCGAAGTTAAGAAAAAAGTAACTGTAATTTCGTTACAAATAACGAGTTACTTCCTAATCCTGGTTACAGGTAGAACGTCAAGAAGGATATACGATCATTGCCATATTCTTATATTTATATCTAGAGCTATTGCACAAGTATTATTAAATTTTATTCGAGTAGATCCGTTCGTATATTTTCCTCTCGTGTCTGCGTACTCTCCCCTTTCTTTCACGAGGCTAGTAGCCAGTGTTTGCTGTTATCTAAATAAAATTACATAGATGATTATCTAGATAAAATTTTAGCGTCATCTTATCTTTATATAGATAATAAAAATAAGTATTATCTATATCTGCATCTTAGATAAAAGAAAGTGTTATCTTTACTAAATTATCTAAGATAACGTACAGATAATTTGGTTTAGGGCCACATAAAAATACTTAACAGTTACACTATTTAAATATGGATGGCGTTGTAGACCATGCATTTATGTGTGTGTCATATAACTTGACCTGAATTATATTCTATATCCCCCTTTATAATTTATATTTTTCTATAATTTTTTCATAACTTTTTCTACCGCGTTTACACGAAGTCTTAAAAATATTATCTGAAAATTATCTAGATGAATCATCATATAATTTTATCTTTTATCTAGATATATTCAAAACGAAATAATCTTTATCTTATCTAAGATAAATTTATATATTTTTATCTTATCTTTATCTAGCTAATTTTAAAATCATCTATGCACAACACTGCTAGTAGCAGAGCTGTTGGATGCTTCTAATCTGTCGCGGCATTCAAGACAGTATTCTTTAATTGTTTCCTTCGCAGAATTGGTACTTCTAGATCGCGACGGAGTGTCTCGTTTGTAACAAACCAGGAGGGGAAGGCATCATCATACACGATAAAATAAAAGTATCCACACGCTGCCGTAATCCCGTGCTGCCAAGCCGCTGTACGCGGTCGCGGACTGAGGGGCCGATTCTTACACTGTAGTGTAAATGCTAAAAGTGAGTAGCTCCGTCTCTCGCCAATCGTCCCCTTAGAAAGAGACAGCCCGCACTTTTAGCACTTTTGCCGTATTGTTCGGTACAAAATAACTTACAGTAACTGACCCCCAGGACCGCGGCACTTAGGACGATAATGACGCTTGTTACCAGTACGTACCCAGCGCCGGCTGGACGGTCGTCTCTCCCGTTCCGCGCATCCGGCGGTGCGGTCCCCAGAACAGGCGGAAGTGCCGCCGCGATTTCTCCGCCGAGCGAGACACGCGGATATCGTGCGCGCTCTCTCTCTCTCCCTCTTTCTGTCCCCCGAGACGACGTGTCCCGCTTTTATTGTCCCGGCGCGGCGACGACAGCGTAAATTGCCGCAATTAGCCCCGTCGCGACGATAACGCGATAGCACTCCCACCGGTGTCGCAGAACGCGGGAGAGCCGCTCCTCGTGTACGATCAGCCGAACGACGCACGGGACGACGGACGGGACGTCGCGTCGCCACTGAGTGACGTGCCGCGACTACCGTCGCGCGGCCGAAGCTCTCGCTCTCGCGCTCGCCGTAAAACGCCGTGCCGTCGGCAACGTATGTACGTGCCACGCCGGCGAACCCGTTCCCGTCGCAAGATGGCGGCCGCGTCTCCGTCACGTGCGGGCTCTCCCTTCCAACCGCGCCGTCCGTACACGTATTGCGCGGATAGGATGCGGAGTATATTACGCGCATTACATTAACGTCGTTATTACGTGTATTTATGCATACAGGCCGCAACACAAATGTCGGACGAGACTCTAGGAACGCGTTCTTCGTGTACGGAAAACGGGGAATCCGAAGAAAATCCTTCTCGAACTATCGAATTTTATGAAATGAATTGTCTCTCCGTTCCATTTTTGTTTTGGAAATATTTTTAATGGCTCAAAAAGAATTCACTTTCATTCATCAATTCCGAATTTTTTGCAGATAAAAAGAGGAATTCTTTTGGAATTTATTTTAAACTTTTATTTTATTTTAAATTTTAAACTCATCTACCATATTAATTGCAACGACTGCGAAGCCTCTTGCATTGGACAAACCGAACGACATCTTCTGACAAGAATTAAAGAACTGAAAAATGACATCAAAAAAAGACGAAAGCTGCCATTCCGTGGTCAGCAAACACCGTGCATCACATGATCACGAGTTCAATAAGGAACCAAGAATTTTACATAGCGAGCGCTTCAGGAGAAAAAGAGAAATCGCCGAAATGTTTTTTATCAAGAAGACCAATAACACGCTAAATTTACAAACAGACCGAAAACTTAAATGTAATATACGACTGTGTAATCAAGACTGTATAGTTCGCAATATCATCTTGTATTGTTCCTAAGATATGACTAACAAATTAGGTCGAGCCCAGCTACCACTAGTGCTCACACGTGTGCATATCACGAGACACGGTAGTGTCTCGCGCCAAGTATAAGCTAGCTAGAACCGCGCGTATTTTATAACTCGACTCTGTCTTATTCGACGACGATGACTGACTTAGGTGCGTTGCTTAACTTTAGACGTTTTATCTTTCAACCTACATTATTTCATAATTGCGTTGTTGTTGATTTGCAGTATCACTCGAAAAGGACCCAAAAGAATAGGGTCGAAACGTTGTGTAACAAACTAATTAATTAACTAGCCAGTTGGGTTGACTATAAGTTTCCCGTCTCAAATTTTAAACTTTCTTTCATTTTTCTCTCTAGGTTGCATTAATTCATAAAATATTTAAAATAGTAGACAGCACAGAAAATCCAAAAAACAGTCTTTGAGTTATAAAATGAATGCTTTTTATTTCTGTTTTAAAAACAGAAATATGCTGTTGCAATAGTGTTCCAATTATTGAAAATTTTTGTGTATTGTAACATATACAAAATTTACATACACAAAAATTTTCAATAATTGGAGTACTATTGCAACAGCATATTCCTGAGACCAAATCAAGTAAAAAAAGTCCTACTTTTCCTTCCGACAAACAGCTATCGAGATATCATAAGCTAAACATTGAAAAAATTAGGATATAGAATAACTTAGCCAGTTAACGTCGTTAAACAATTTTTCTTCCTGTTTTTAATCAGTTGCTGGCGATAATAATATTCTTGAAATTTAATTTACTTCCAAGAGAAGTCAAATGGAATCCTTTTTGAACTGCCGGGAAAAAATTTGAGTTCATTTTGAACAGATAATTCTAATTCATAAAGAAACTTTAAAAACAAATCCTTTTTGCGAATTTATAACGATTACTTGTGTCATTTGAGTATTCAAGTAGTCAATTACATTGTTTCCCCAGTTAATTCTGTATGTCTGCCTTGAGAGCCTGGATGAGGTCCGAAAAAAGAATCGTTGATAATACCACACGGAAAAAACAATGTAGCTGTTGTAGCTAAAACTTAGCAAAATAGGGACAGCTAATATTTTAGTTGTAATAGCTCAATATTTTGCTACTGTGCCTATTGTATTAGGTGCGACAGCAAACGGTTTGCTGTCGTAGCAAAATATTGAGCTATCACAACTAAAAATATTAGCTGTCCCTATTTTGCTAAGTTTTAGCTACAGCAGCTACATTGTTCTTTCCGTGCAAGTTCTCGTGGAGAACTGCTAAATAAATTGACAATAAATTCTAACGTCAGAAACTCAGCCTTTTCGGACTCGTGTTGACTTGATAAATTTTTTTTCTTCAAGTATAAGACGCACAGTCCTAAAGTTGCTCAACGTTTTTATTACACCCCGTCATTCCATTTCCCTTCGCGGATAAACCCGTAAATCTTGCCCGAAGAGAGAACGAATGCGACGGAATATCGTCTACCACTTGGGGAGTTTGGAAAACAAATTCTTCTCATTCCAATTTATTTTCTCCGCAGGTTGATTAACATGAAAGTATGATTAACGGAAGGAGGAGAATCGTTGTCTTCTCTTGCCGTCGCACGGGCCCTTAATAGATTTACAAAAAAAAGAGAGAAAAGAAATAACGAAGAAAAAGGCACGAAACCTCGCGTCGCCGCTTTGGTCATTCGTAGATAATTTGTACTTAAATAAGTTTAGATATGACGCAGTCGTCACAGCGGCGGGTGGTGGTTTACAAGTAAATAAATGGTACATGAGTAGCGTACAAAAAGTTCTACGTTCCTAGGAAAATGCGATATATAAAATTCCCTCTAATTGATCTCCGTGGCCTTGCTGGGACTATAAGGAACCGGCTCATCGTCCTCGCCGATCTTCCGCAGTCGTTGCAGCTCCGCCTGCCGCGTTCTGAAACACAAGTGAAATCGCGGCGGTTTTAGCCGTGATCGCGCACGAGATACCGGGTCTCGGAATTAGCGGTGAAGTGGGTTCGATACCTCGCTAAGATCTCCTCCTGCTCGCGTTGTTCCTTGCGGCTCTTGAGGGCTCGATATCCGACGCAAATGACTATCAACAGAATGGGGATCAGGCAAGCGAGCACTATGCCGGTGGTAATTCCCGCCTGACGGGAGCTATATTCCTGCTGACCTGCGGTGTGCACAACACGTACATTATACTGACGAATGAAGAATGGAGTAATCAAACGGTTGGGAAATCGAATATCCGGATGGAAAAAACGATTCGCGTGCCGTCGTGCTCGGCGCGAAAGATTGTGTTTGAATTTCACAGCGAATCGTAGGGCGGCCTCGTTAGGACAATGTATTGCTCTTCCCACGTACAATACAATAAATATTTTGTGTAAATCTTTATTATCTTCCGCAGATGACAGCCGATAGCGTTATAAAAGGGGGAGGATTTTAGTTTTCGGCGACCAAAAAGTGCACACAAAAAATGGTTAAAGCGATCAGTAATTATCTCTTTTTCCATTGGCACTGTCTCAAAAGACAATACATCTAAAATTATTCAGATCAGTTCGCCGTAAAATCACATGAAATTGCACCTAATTTTTTAAATTTTAATCAATTTTAATCCCGCGAATAGCGCGTAGCGTTAGAGGAAAGTCCTCTATTATGAGGTAAGTTTCTAAGACGAGATAGCAGGTTTTCAACACCAAAATTTAATCGCAAGTCTTTCTTCGCTTATACGCTCTAACAATGAAAGGATACGCTTTTTCAAAGTTAGTGGAAAATTTTCCACTAAACAGATTCCGAGGGATTCGCAATAAACTCATGGCGAAATCAACCGATGATGCCTATTAATTTAGCGGAAATCCCGCTATCCCATATTAGGATCCTATCTCATAATAGGGAACTTTCCTCTATTATTATCAACTGATTTTTTCACAATAATATATGTATAAATAAAATATTTAAGCGGGAAAAGAGGAGAGGAGACGGTAATGGGAAAAATTCACAACTTCGGTGGAAATTTCCATTCCATTCTAATGCTGTTCCGATGCTGCATCATAATGATGTCAATCGTTCTATTTTGTTATCTCAAACATTCTGTGCATGCATGTGGAATAGAAATTTCCCGTCATCTCGTTCAATGATGTATAAAATTTTATTAAGTCTCTTACAGTACGTGAACACAAATATGTACGATATGATTAAATTGCCATAAATATTATCGTTGCAATTATATAAACCGATTATACAATTAAATAGTTGTTGTTGCGTTTAATTGTTGCTTAAAGCCACGTAACGTTTGATCGATTATGCTGATAGGTTATTATTATATACGTACATATACATATAAGTGAGATAATATTGTATATTCCAAATACAATTAATATTGCAACTGTTAATTCTATTTCTATTCCACAGCAAGAACAGTCTATATATTATATATTTGGTATTTCTATATGGTATCTCTATTGTCTATAAATATATGGTATCTCTATTATCTATAAAACATACTAAAAAAACGGCACCGAACGGACAATGAGTTATATTTAAAATAACATTCAAATCTTCTAAAAATACACTTTTCAGCAGTTGCTGGTTTTGTGCTAGATTTAGATCAAAATTTGGTTTGATCAATCGCGTGTCAAATTGACTTTTCGCTTGATATACAGATATATTGAGATAGACATCCCATATAGCACAGGTGAACGAACTCCGAAAGCATGCGCTTTTTCAAACTCTTTATGAATTGGAGCAATCTGTTCAGAATGCACTCAAAAGAACGACTTGCCGGTGCAAGTACTCGCAGAGTATAAAAGAATTTCTTTTGTGTCCGAAAAAGAGCTCGGTATTGATGACATCAGCGAATTCTTCTTACACTCTTAAGAGTGTTTTTATAGCAAAACTGGGATGGAGAAAGAATCGATGTCGTAATTCGAAGCTAGTGCCTTTTGGATTCTCTGTGCTGTCCGGGATATTAATTTGATTTGCGTGTGTGAGATGTACATTATTTAAAATTGGAATCAAGGTATATTGTCATGGACGCGTGTACACATACATACTGACTCGAAGTGTCGCGTGCAGGTAAAGCAATTTCGCCTGAGCAGAATATATCTGAATATATCGTTTCTACCATTGTACACTATTAACCCTTTGAAGCATACATTTTTCTATCCGAACCATTTTTTGTGAAACTGTAAACAAGGATTTTTGGGGTCGCCGATTATGAATCCGTTATCAGATTTTCATAATTTAAGATGGCGAAATTCGAAACTTAAAAGAATAACATCATTTAACTGTAATTCAACTATGCTAAGAAACATTATTTAGATATTATTAGGACCCATGGAATCTAAATTTCAGTTGAAAATTCTTATAGAATATGAAAAATAACGCGAGCGAAATAGCGGATGCAAAATTTAAGTTTGATCATTTCTTAGAATTTACTCATTCCTGGCACTTAATTGGCACTCAACGACGCGGACATGACGAGTCCCCAAATACCGTAATCAAACGAAAATGCTGAAAAACTTGAAAACTTAAAAAATTCACGTACTTTGCGTCCGCCATTGTTAATTTTGAAAATCTGACATCAGATTCGTAATGAGCGACGCCGAAAACCCCTTTGTACAAAGTTTTCACGAAATAATCTTAAAAAACTTGGTCAGTAATGAATTTTTCCGAAAAAATTGCTGTTTTTTCATATTTGTTTATTTATAAAACTTTTACAATAAATTGTAAAGGCTACTGAACTTCATTTTTATGTTCTCTTAGTGCTAAGATACCCAAAAAAAAACACAAAAAACCCGACCTAAATGCGTTAACTAGTAATTAAATGGCCAAAAAATAAAGAAGTTGAGGTGGCAACGTGCTTCAAAGGGTTAAGAGATGAATATCTAAACGTTGCTCTCCTTCGTAGGGCTGCCAGTTTTTCTAATCGAATCCGTGCCCGAATCCGAGCCCGTGGGCGAAGTGGGATATTTCAGATCCCATTCTTTATCCTCGAATTCAACGTCCGGTCTATTGGGTAAGGGTTCGTGGGTGCGGTACACTTTGTCGTAACCACGGCGCTTCCTAGTGCCGCTATTAGTATCAATTGTGCTAGTGTCGCTAATTGGAGTAATGGCCCTATCGTCGTACGACTTTAACGGCGCGCTCTGCTTCAACGTGGATTCATTGTCGATACCAGAATCGCGCTCGGAATAACGCCAAGATTTCATCGAACCTCCCCGCGATTGGTTCCTTCTCATATAAATAAAGCCGCCGACGATGCAGGCCACCACGGGTATTAACACGGCGCAAATAATGCCCATTACGGTCCACGCTGTACGCTGAACGTACTCGATGTGACCTGTATTTATGTTACAACAAACGTCATCAGTCACAGCACGAGAAAGGAGGAAGTACATTGATTTGATAAATCCCGTTGGAGGAGAGGGGGAGAAAAGAGATGACACACGCCGGGAAATATCAGAGAGATGCGAAAATCGCGTCGAGCCGTTCAACGCGTTATCAAGTTCCAGCTCGCCCCGGCGAAAATATACCCTTGCTGATTAATTGCTCGACTCGTAAGATCAGACTCGATTTAACTTTTAAAACGAGCTGATGGAATTCGGATCTCTCCCCCCCCCCCCCCGAGTTAATTAATCCGGCAAATGCGCTACCGTTAAATATTTTCTCCACGCATTATACCTTTATTGCATTCCTTATTCTCCTACCTCGTTCGAGATCGTTAAGCAGGTACAGTGAGATTGCATTGAGAGACTGATAAATAATGGAGGAATACTTACGGAGGCATTCCGTGTATCCGTATTCCGGAGTGTTCCATCGTCCTTCTGGCGTGCACACCCGACGTTGATCACCGATCAATATGAAATCCTGATTGCACTCGAAGCTCACTTTCGTCCCCGGGACAAATAGGAAATTACTCTTGCGTCCGAACCGCGGTGTTTCCAGTACGCCGCAGGATATAACTTGAAAATTAAAATACGCGCGTGGTAGCGTGTGCATATAAAATTTCGCCACGTGTATAAAATGTACGACTAAATTTTTTAATAACGTTGGGTCTGTGAACTTTAATCAAATTGAATTATAACACGGGACTTGGCTTCTTTCGTGACGTTACCGCGCAGGCTTACCTTCCTTCATATTCAACGCTCGGATCTGGGTGTAGGTATCGTAGTAGTTTCGAGTAAAGTGCGCTAAATCTCGATTCAACGTCATAACGTAATCGTACTGACACTGATATGAGTCGCCGCACAGATCAATCGCGCGGTTTACATCGTACGACCTGTTCGCCGGGAGTATCTCCGACGGATATTTTCGGAATTCCGGCTCGAACGTGCGATTAGCATAATAGCTCGCCGTTCTACCGAACTCTCTATGGAATAAAGCCGCCCCTAACAGTTTGTTCTCTTTATCTTCCAACATCCAATGTATCGCGAAGTCCCTATGAATGGTCTCCGAATGATTCACGCTGGTGATTGGGACTTGATATCCCTGCGGACTCGTCAAATCGTCCGTGCGATCGAAATTCCAAATGCCAAACAGTCCCCTGGTTTTGTTCTAGAATAAAAAGAGCAACATTCCTCGCATTTAACAAATATAAACTTGGAATACTTCCTGCGCATTGCTATATTTTACGTAAATTTCCCTTTATATCCTTGCACGTAATACGATGGAGCGGAGAGAGAAACATTCTTTTCTTACCAGATATGACCACGGTAGATACGTTCGAGCGGATATGAAGCCCTCGTTCTCCACGACTTCTACGCCAGCGCCGGTATCGAGCATAATAATGACCTCGCTCTGATTCAAGATGTACGTAGGAGTATAAACGACGACCCCGGGGAAATGTTGGAATTTTAAGGATGGTCTATCAAAGAATACCCTTTGACCGTCCGCGAAGACGTCGAGCCGATATCGCCACTGTGCGTGCTTAGGTCTCAAACGGACCTCGATGGTAGCGGAGTTATTACCTCTCACTGCAAAATGTAACGCATCGATTACGATCGCAATATCGTCAACATAATAGCGATTTAATATTAGTGAAGGCCACCTTAAGGGGATGCTGGAGTGGTTTGATTTACCGACTCTGTCGGTAAATTGCAATATTTGTAATACATAATGCGATACGAATTAGACTTCAAATCTCAATGTTTTTTATATGAAAATGTTCAACTATGCATTCTACACTTGGGTCTGGTATTAGTTTGTACATAAATGCTACATAATTATTTTCGTTTGTATCTATAATATGACATATTGAGGTTACGTTTCTTTACAAACCTCCAAAAACTGTATGCGACTCTGTCGGTAAATCAAACCACTCCAGCATCCCCTTAAGATCCTTCAGCATCTTTTTTACCGACACAGTCAAATACAGGGTGTTATGTAATATCCGCATCAACGCTTATTGTGGGATAGAGTGGACTAGACTAAGTCGAAAAGTCCTCTACCATTTTGCAATTTTCGCAAAAGTCAGCGAGTTATTAATTATTAAAAATCGCTGTTTTAGGCCGGCCCACTGCCCAATTCAAACGTGCGAGATCGATCGATCGTTACAACTCTCTGCGCGCCTAGTAAC